AGGTAGATGGTCCATTTAGAATTCTCCAATGCATTGGGGAAAACGTTTATAAGATAGAGCTTCTTGACACTTATGAAGTATTTTCATCTTCAATGTTGTTGATTTGTCAACCTACCATTGTGAGAAGACTAATTCAAACTTGAAGACAAGTATTTTCTAACCAGAGGAGATTGACCTCAGAATGTCAACTCATCTTACAACTTGAGTTAAGACTAAGGAAGATTTTATCCAAAAATAAGATGGCTTATTCTTGATCCAAATCTACTAAATAAATGCAGAAATAAGGTGTGCTAAAATAGAGAGATTGTGTTCATATTAGTTGAAAAAAAAGAGCATAAAGATGGATGAAATTAGGGTAGATTCATTATCATGTAATTTACAGGAGTAAATGGGTAGATAATTGTATTCACATTACAGATTATTGTGTTCACATGCAAATGTCATGATTTTAGACACGATTCTAGCAATTCAATCTGTGAAGTTCCCATGCTTGGAAGGATGTTCCTAGCCTATTTATTTTATGTTATTCTTTGATAAAAGGTAGAATAGAGTTTTCCTTATCCTTAAGAAATATTTTAGATTGTTCTTCAAGTTCTATATCTCTTAGGTGGATTTCCTAGAATGGTGAACTTCTATTGTTTTTTATCCTTGATTAGAATTCTTAGGGTGATGTTTCTGTATCCCTTAATGTTTAGTTGTGTGGTGAACTTCTATCATTTTTAATCTAATAATTATTCTACCATTATTCAAATTCTTGTGAACTATCTTTTTTGTAAGTTTTTCTGTTTGCTATTAATCTAACATCTCAACCATCAATTCCCGACATTATGTATGTTGATAAAGATTATCAGAAGTCTTTTTTCTAAGGTTAAAAGAAATACAAAATTACTTAAGTTAATTCATAGTGATTTTGTGATATGCATAGCACTCCTACATTATCTGAAATGAAATATTTTGTCACATTTATAGAAGATTATACTAGATATTGTTATGTTTATCTGTTACATTCCAAAAATAAAGTACTTGATAAGTTTAAAATATATAAATCTAAAGGTGAACTTCAGTGTGAATCTTTTATCGAGTGCTTAAGGTCGAATAGGGGTGGAGAATATTATAGTCCAAGTTACTTTGAATTCACTAGAATAATTCACCAAGTTATTGCTCCCTATACACCATAATAGAACGGTGTATCTAAAAGGAAGAATAGGGTCTTAACAAAAATGGTAAATGCAATGTTATCAAATTCTGGTATTAGATAAAGATTTTGGGGTGAAGCTTTATTAACAGCTTATCATACACTAAATAGAATTCCTAACAAAGAAAAAAAAAACCCTATATGAGCACTGGAAGAAAAGAAAACAAATCTTAATTATTTAAAAGTTTATGGATGTAGAGTTATAATTAAAATTTCAGAACCCAAAAAGAAAAAGTTGGGTGAAAAAGGAATAGAATCCATATTTATAGGATATGCATAAAATAGGAAAGTATATGGGTTCATGGTTATTGAACCAAATGATTCAATTTCAGTTAACATTGTTATTGAATCAAGAGATGTAATTTTTGGTGAAAATAAATTAAAATCTCTTTAGAGACAACTACAAGCAATTTATCTTACAAGTGAAAAAGAAATTCTAAATTCATTGGAACAAACTGAAATTAGTGATGAATCATGTCAAGAAATAAGGACAAGCAAAAAGGTTAAAAAGCCAAAAGATTTTGGACTAGATTTTTTAATATTCCTTGTGGAAAGGACTGGTGAAAGCATAAACAATAAAATTCCTATTGTTTTAATGTGAAGTCTGATCCTATTTCATATGAAAGGCGATGAAGTCTCAAGATTCTACTTTTTGGAGAGAAGCAATAAATGATGAAATGGACACAATAATGAGAAATAACACTTGGATTTTGGTTGACCTTCCACTAGGTTCTAATCCAATAGGTTTTCAATGGATTTTTAAAAAGAAAATGAAGATGGATGGAACCATAGATAAATTTAAAGTAAGGTTGGTAGCGAAGGGTTTTACACAAAAGCAAGGGATAGACTACTTTGATACTTATGCTCTAGTAGCTAGAATTGCTACAATTAGGCTTCTAATTTCACTTACCTCAATTTATAATTTGATTATACATCAAATGGATGTAAAAATGACATTTTTAAATGGTGAATTAGAAGAGGAAGTATATATGGAACAACCGAAAAGATTTATCATTCGAAGTCAAAAGCATACAGTTTGTAAGTTTGTAAAGTCCTTGTATGGACTTAAACAAGCACCAAAACAATGGCACCAAAAGTTTGATGAAATTGTTCTTGCTAATGATTTTAGAATTAATGAGTCAGATAAGTGCATGTGTAACAAATTTGAAAATTGTAAAGGAGTCACAATTTACTTATTTGTGGATGATATGTTAATATTTGGCACTAATTCAAAACAAGTTAAGGAAATAAAGAAATTTTTATTAAATAACTTTTCAATAAAAGATATGGGTGTAGCGGATGTTATTCTTGGAATTAGAATAATCTAGCATTATAGTGGCATAACCTTGTCACAATTGCATTATATTAAAAAAGTACTTAAAAAGTTTGATTTTTTCGATTATATTCTAGTATCTACACCCATGGATTCTCAACTAAAAGTAGTATCTAATATTGGTGAGCAATTGATCAATTGCAATATACAAGAGTAATTGGTTGTTTGATGTATGTAATGACTTGTACAAGGCCAAACATACCATTCGTTATTGGAAAGTTGAGTAAGTACACAAGTAATCCAAGTAACTTGCATTGATAAGTAATTAAAAGAGTACTTTGATATTTGAAGAAAACAATCAAATATGGATTGTGTTATAATGGATATCTTTTAATTATAGAAGGATATTTTGATGCTAGTTGGATTTCTAATATAGAATATCATGCTTTTACAAGTGGGTGGATCTTTGTACTTGGTAAGGGTACCATTTCTTGGGGTTCCAAGAAATAAACATGCATAATGGATTCCACCATGGTAGCCAAGTTTATTGAATTAATTGCAATAGCTAAAGAAGTTGAATGGCTAAGAAAGTTATTATATAAAGTACCTTTATGGCCTAAACCAATGTCCCCAATTTCTATCTGATGTGATAATGAAGTAACTCTAGCAATGGCATATAGCCAAGTATATAATAGAAAGTTTAAACATATTGAATTAAGACATAGCTATGATCGACAATTAATTTCAAATAGAGTGATCACTATTAATTATACGGGATCAAATGAAAACTTGGTGGATCTTTTAACAAAAAGTTTGCTAAAAACTTAGTAAAAAAGACCTCGATAGGGATGGGCTTAAGCTTATGAAGTAAAGTCACCCATGATGGAAACTTGATTCAACACTTGGTATAACATCAAATCCTGAGTTTAATGAGACAAAGTACATCATCTGTAAGTGGTTGGTAGCACTATACTAATGCTTAATGCCATCCAGGTAAAATGCGAAGTACCCATAATGGTAAAAGAAGGATGAGTAATATACTCTTAATAGACACATAACATAAATATGTTAGAGTGCTATAATTACAGGAAGACTCTTGATGGGAGCTACTTATGTGAGTGTGAAGTGTGGCAATAACTAGGAGCTTAAGAGCTTGGCTCTAACAACACTTATGAAAAAATGATGCCGACACTTGGTCATAAATGTGTCACCGGATACCAATTATTCATTGGGTGTTGAAATCATTGTGTGTGGCAAGTTTGGTTAACCAAATGGAATAGTTGGTCCAAAGTATAGTCTATCATATGATTTCGGTTAACTTTAACTTGTTTTCACTAAGTGAAAGTTTAAATTCGAAGATGCCTTGATTTATGCAATTGATTTCCAAGATCATCATAAATCTAGATTATTTTAAAAATGGTTAGGGATTATTAGAGATTTTCAAAATAAAATATGGGAAACAATCTCACATTGGAAAAGAAAAACATAAAGACAAATAACTAAGTATGTTAAAAAATAGACAATTTTTGTCTATTCCAAATAGACAATCATGTCTGTAGGAGAATGACACTTATTTGTTTATAAAAGATTCCTCTAGTTTTCTAAAAACATGTAGAAACAATTCACGGAACTCTCCCTTTTCTTCAAACTTCATATTTCTTTTACAAAAGTTTTGTTGCAGAAAACCTATATAAAAATTCAATGATCTTGTGATATGTTAATGATTGCTTGGTGAATTGATTTTGTTAGAACAAAATACAATCAGTCACTAAATTTTATCGTATCTTCAAGATTTATTGCCTGAAACCCTTTTCTACACATACAAAGTAAATAATACAATAGGGACAAATAAAACCTTAAGGAAAGTGACACTGTTATATGCTTTAAAACCTTTTCTCAAAATTCCAAATTTACCGGAAGCAATAATTCTAGTTTTTCAATATTTGCTCCAACAGCCGAGACACATACCTTTGAGGAAGATATCACGAACAAAATCCAACCTGTTGAAATCATGGTTTTGTGGGAAGATATCGGTAACTTGGATGCGAAAATGTGCTCTAAATTGATGCACTTAACCAGAAAGGATAGGCAGTTTAAACCCGCTTATCTGGAAGGGGATCGTTCTGTAGATAAATGGAAACCCTTGGTAAAAACCATAAAAAGACTTTGAAAGAAGAAGATGATATTGTGATGGCCTGCTTAAAAAGACGAAGGGCTAGAAGATGTTGAGCTATCTCAAGAGAGTCGGAAGTTTTGATTCCTTTTATTTTCTGTACCCAAATTTTCGTACAAAGTTTATTGGTAAAGACAGGACTTGTGGCCTTAAAAACCGGATGACGATTCTCAAATTGCCTTAATTGGCATGTCCTGAGTCTAGTAAAATTTTGAACTTGTATTAGAGCCTAATGAGGTGATTCATGTCACTCACAATCACATCTGCATAGATGTATACATGACACTGAGTTTGCAAATTCTTGTCCTATTTTAGTAACGAGTGACGAAATAATGAATTTGAAAATTTTTTAAATAATTGTGGATCTAAAAATTGAACTAAAATGATTATGATACGAAAATAAAATATTATATAAAAGTTTTAGATTTTGGTACAATATACCGCGACTGTGAACAGATTGTAAAACAAAAATTATCAAAGGCAAAAATATTAGTATAGTCGGTAAACTTAATAAGCTTGTAGCTGTCAAGAAGGATCCTTGAGATTCATTAGAACATTTTATCAATGTAAGAACAAAAAGTCAGGTTGAAACATTGAAATGCTGAATCTTATTTGGCGATGCAATTTGCTATCTTCTGCTTCACTGGAAACATTCTAGCAGCATTAATCACTTTAAGAGTTTCTTTCTTTTCTATTTTGTCCTTCGACGGTAGAAGAATTCAGTGTTCTCTCTTTTTATACTCTACAATTTAACCACTGGATTATGTCATCCATTATAGTTTCTCGTTCTGGTTCAAAGAGGAGATCATGTAACAGGCCTTCAAATAATTTGATCGTTTTGTCAGTTGAGGCAGCCTCTTCATACAGTTTCTCAGAAGCTTGAGGATCAGTTACAGTATCATCAGTGCCGTGCAGAACTAGGAAAGGAACTCTCAATCTGTTCATATTCTGCTGCAAGTAGGATGTAATCCTAAGAATTTCATAACCAGTTCTTACCCGGAGGGATCCAGTGTACACCAGTGGATCTGAATACTTTGCCACCAGAGCCTCTGGGTCCCTAGAAACTGGCATGCCCTTTTTATTCGCAACAGGGACTTGGTATCTTGGCAATAGAAATGAGATAACTGGGGCAAGTACCTGTCATAGGCAGATGAAACATGGAGATGAAGAATGACAAAAATGCATCGGCTTATTCACCATTTTAAACTCAAGCTGGTATTTCAGGTTTGGACAATTTTACACCATGTTCTTTGTTCTTTCAAACAAGAAAAGGAAAGAGAAATATTATCCCAGAGGTCAGTTAGAAAAGAAGATATGACTAAAGGACATTCTTACCACAAAAATTGGATGAGATGGCTGGACGCCTACAGCTGGTGAAGTCAGTATAATGCCTGCTACTTGGGCTTCAACCTTTGGATCAAGTACTGCCTATAATGCAAAATAAGTGAGTTTAGCAGGAACAAAATCAGAAGATGCAAGTGTAGATTGAGGAGACAAGTTATCAGCAAATAAACATGCAGATTGAAGAAACTGCAAAAGATCTGAAATTAATATATGATTTAAAATACCACTGGAGAACAATCATTCTTTATAAAACCTTACTTTAAGGACAATTGCACCACCTGTTGAATGACCGAAGCAAAAGCATGGAAGCCCAGCATTTTCAGCTAAAACTTTTCCAAGGAACATTTTCTGTAAAGTTGGGAAGATAAACAAAGACAGGTTAATTCGATCAAATATTTACTTTAAATATATTTTTGTAGCTGAACCTTAAAACATACCATATCAGTAACAGCATCATCAAGAGAATGAACATATGCATGTAGCCCATCACTTCCACCATGTCCTACAGGATATGAGGAGCAAATAAACTTAAGAATGAAAAAAATAAATAAGTGAAGGTGACCAGAAACTATAACCTACTGAGTTACACGAGAAACTACTAAGGAATGCTGTCAGAGATCAAAAATAGAAGTGACTGTCAACAATGAACCAGAAAAATATAAAAGCCTATAAACAACTGCCAGTTAAAAAAGAAAGTTGCAAGCAAATATGCATGACAGGAGGTAAATGAGGTTAGGAAAGCATTTTTCCAACTACAAATACCAAGCATGCTTCCAAATAGTGCAGAGTAGAGGGGGGGAACCCCAATCTTAGTTGAGTTATCACAGACATTGTTTCAGAGATTGATTATTTGAGGCATATGCTAGCATGCTGCAAGTTGCAAGATGCAAGATGCAACTTTGGTGCAAGACAGTGTTTCTCCCTTTGACATTTTCTACCAAGGAAACTTTCATGAATGGTGGAAAATTCATCTAAACCAAAATCTGAGAAGCCAAAATGAGGAGAATATCATCAAAAACCATACTTCCTGTTTCTACTGGTCATATAAAACAGGAAGACAGTTTTTTCAGGTCTTGCTTACTATAAACACTAAAAAATAAGCTTACTTATTATGATGAGCTTCAAATGTTACTTTTTGGCACCAATGGTCTTCCCAATAGAAATACACAAGCTCTGCAACATCCAAATATAGTTGCATTGTTGAAGAAAGGTGTCTCTAGACTATGAACAACAACAAATAGAAGATAATCTGTGAAGAATTATCTGAAAAAATGAAGACAAGACCAAACTGACTATGCAGAAAGTTCTTTTAGAACTGATTTTACACCAGCATGGAAAACTATGGGGTAAACAAAACAAACAGAAGCAACAAAAATGCCTTCGAAAAAAACAGCATTCTTTTACCCTTTGTGCATTCTCTTCTGTCACAAATACTATGCAGTCTTTTTTCTCCATCCCTAGTTCACAGTCAGATTGATTGTACAAGTGATATGCAAGTAACACTTGTAGAAACATGATGCTCTAAGCGAGAAACTTATGCCTGTCCGTGAATGTAAAAAGAATGTACTTGAATGTTTGTAAAAAAAAAAAAAATGGACAACCAATCCTATCTCTTAGAACTAATATAGGACCTTAAATAGTCCTTTGTTTCTTAACATATTGATTGGAGCCAGACATTTTGATTATTGTGAAACCACCTACAAAATACATTCAATAAACAAGACCAATCTATAATTCCATGATGTTGAAGCTGAAAATACATTTCCACCACAAATCTAATCAACGGGCAGCTGTATTTTTGCTACTCAAAAACTTCACAAAAAATGTTGAAATTGTCAAAAGAAGATGAAGGTTTTTCTTTATTTAATTTGTCATTGTGTCCATGATGTCTGACAAATGGGTAGGACTCTATTCTGCAGTTTTAACTTTTCCTATTCTGGTTCTAATTCCTTTTTAAATATGATATTTTTCCATTGATGTGAAATAATATTTGACAGCGAGAATGAACAGACATATGGATATGACTAGGGTTGAAAAAGCAATAGAAAGAATATTTTAAGGATTTTGAGAAAACAAGAACAATATGCCCCTTAGGCAACATTTCATCACTTGTGATAACAACGAACAGAAATCACTATCAAAACACATATAAATGTACTAAGTAAGAGGGATCCTGAAGAATGCAACTGGAGAAGTAGAATGGAAGACATTCTTTGTGGTAAGAATTAGTTTATTAGAAATGTGTCGACCATACGATATGGCATCTGATTTTCATTCTAGTCACTTATATGAAATAGTCACTCAAATGACACACAACATGAATAACAAAAGACAGACTTTTGGGTCAAGCAGAATGTGATTTTAATAGTAAGCATACAAAACTTAAACTTACCAATCCAATCCATTCCATAGACCTTGAATCCATTAGCATTAAGCCGCTTTGCAAAATCACTGTATCTGCCACTGTTGTGAAAAAAAAAAAGTAAACTTCTTAGGCAAAAGATACGAAAAGCTATGAAATCAATTAAATATGACCTCCAAAATAGCATTAGGTCCAAATAACAAACCTGTGCTCATTCAAGCCATGCAAAAGAACAACTATTCCCCTGGAAAAGACATGGAAATAACATCACTATCAAAGTGAATAAAGTAGGAATTTTGAACTTTACAAGAAAATCAAACCAAAAATTAATAGTAAAAAAAATGTAATCAGTAATTAAATGATTGGGGAAAACAGAGAAATCAAAAGGAGTTGGTAGATATTGTACAAGACTATAGTTTGAAGCTAGTTAAAAAATAGTTTATTTAATTGATAGAACATAGCTAAAATGGAATTTCTAATAACGCTTTTTAAACTTTCAGTATGTAAAATACAAAAGTAAAAAAATGATCATAGAGGAAATAACACAAGTAAATTCTTATCCCACTAGGCTTCACTATAACAAATGTGCCCAATATGGCTAATATTTTCCAGTTTCCCTTACAATTCCCATGAAGCATATTGCAGCAAGTCGCTTGAAAGAGGAAAATGGAAAAAAAATTATTCAGTTTTGGGTTTCTGATAAGAACATGAGACAGCCAAGATAAGTGGTATGTAGTTTAAGCATAATGCTGTGATACAACTTTACTTGCCAGTTTAATTTTAGAGGCCTGAGGTAGCCACTATATTGCTGAAATAGCAACATAGAATTATCAAGCGAAAAAGGTTATGTGGTATGGAATCAGTCCTTTATAATGGTCCTGGCAAACTTAAACTCAGAACTTCATCTAGGAAGACACTCCTTTGGCTCAAATTATTTTAAATTAGATCGAATCATTTAACTAAACTAACTCCATCATTGTTATCAAAACCCACCTTAACCATCAAATTTCAATAAGGTAATCTGACAAAGACTTTAATACCATAATCTAAAATGTGTTAGCCTCCAGCGAGGTAAATATTTAATTTAATACTACAGAAAAATTCACTTACAGCAAAGAATGAATTGAAACTTCCACTCACAGATGATATTCTTCTTTCAGTCCAATCAAAGATCATTTTTTTTTTTTATTTTTACATTTTTAGTAAAATTTCTTTTCACATTTTCATTTGCTTATTTCAGTTTCCACTGGCATCATAGTCTGCAGCAGACTTCAAAAAGTTCTGGCTCAAATTTACTAATTTTCAGGCAATTATCAAGAACATCAATTCCTAAATTTAAACTATGCATTAGCAAGACGATTTTACACACTGAGCACTAGTGATAAAAGCATTTTGTTTGAACAGTTTTTCATTTTGAAAATTCAATTCAATTGGAAAATATGCCAACTGATGAGTTTCTAAGGATCTGAAAAGGGACTGCCAAAACATTTGACAAATACATGATAGACTATGCCAGAAAATATCGGACATATTCTCTCCTTTGCAAGTGACATTCCACCAACATTCACAGCGCAATGCAGATAAGAGAAGTTATGGGACCAGAAGCAGAACATAGAGAGACTCAGGGCAGGAATAATCAAGAAAAAAAAAACATATAGGTTGCCTTTTTACTTGGGTACAGCAATCCTTGGGGCACGGTCCTGCTGCAGGGAATTACAAGGGCGGAAATGGGGACAAGACATTATTTCTTTTTGTCCATACATCATACATAGTTTTAACCACTAGCTGACAGTGATGATATGGATGTCTTCGAGAATATGCCATCTAAATATTCATTGTCACTGGAAACTCAGCCATTTATGCAGAGGCTTCTGCCAACATACCAAGTGAGGACATTTCACCACAGTTTTCAGATATGTACCTAGTAAATTAATCGTTGCATTTTAATTATTTCAACGTCAAGATGATTCAAAGATGCAAAAGAAGCAGAATTCCATTCAACAACTTCTTGACAACATTGCTATATTACAGATAATAGAGACATTTTCTACAGATGTGGGAGTGAGGTGAATCGAAGGATACATAGAAACTAACATAATTTAATCTTTTTTCTAGATTAAACAAAACAAAAAAAAAAAGGTACAATAATCCATAAGTTTCATTCCTTAAAGCTGAAATTTTGTTTAAGGGGGCTGAATGAACAGGTGTGATGATTCTTTAAAAAAGCAATGCTTCTATTCTCTAGAATGTCAGAATAATTAATCCAATCTTGAAGTGTAGAAGAAAATAACTCCGACCTAAATTAAGCTATGGAAAAGAACCAAAAAAAAAAAAAAAAAATCTCCATTCTCCATCTCAAAAATCCCATTTCATGAGCTATCTTCTAAGAAATGAAATTAAATCACAAACATCCACTTAAACAAAAGGGACCAAATACTAGTATTATTAATAAGCCACATTTATTAAATGCGAAAACAAAAACAAATAATAATAGCAAATTCTTAAACCAAAAAAAACAATGAAAATTTAATCTAAAACTGACCTGACTTTGACAGAAATCGGAGTCCAAGACTGAGTGAATAACGTGTCAACTCTTGCACTAGAAAACAGCGAAAACTTTCTCACCGTAGCGTCATCATCGTCCTGCACCACCCTCCGAATCGCCAGTGACCGCCTCGCTGCTGCCTCCTGGTCCAGAGCCAACGTCACACTTCTCCACGGCACCACCGCCACCGGCACCCTCACCGCAGGCGCCGCCGACCCTTTCCTCCCGCTCTCCTTTTTCTCATCCACGGAAGTGTTCGCGGATGCGCGTTTTTGTCCCCGGAATGGCAACAGCAGCAACAAAAGGACGGCGTTTAGCAGCACCAACAGGCTCCTCAAAGCACGTAAGGAGAAGAGGGCGTTTATGCGACCACTTGCACCAGAGGTTAAGGGCTCCACCGCCATTCTGTTAGCAGTGGAAAAGATTAAGGGACTGAAATCCTTGAATCGGCTTTTTGGTTTGCAATGGTATTGGTTATAAACGTTAGATTTCACATGAAATTGGGAATGTTTATTAAATGGAAATTTTTGAAATTTGGTTTCTCTGGGTATTATAATCGTTCTAGTTGGTGAACAGATCATAAACGGAGACAACAGAAAAACAAAAAGAAAATCGTTAAATAATCTGTCTTTTATTTTTCCTATATTTAGCTGTCTTTGGTTCTACCATTTTTAGAGCAGAAACCATCTAAAAAATCATAATCCAGTAAAGGATAAGAATTTCTGGCAAAGGAAAGGGAAGAAGAAGAAGAACTGAAGAAGCAAAAATCAAATTTAGTTTGTTTGCTGTTTGCTTTACTACTTACAAAAAAATATGAAAAAAAAAAAGTGTTTTGAAACGTCAGGCTCAGCCTCAGCCATTTAATCATTTAACAAAAAAAAAACCTGCGTTAAAGTTTTTAAGTTGACGGTTACAAATTAGAGGTGGATAGTAACAGAAAAGAAAAGTTTAATTTTGGAAAAAAATATTAGCCATGATTCATATGACACGTGTCGAAGGTAATGAAAAGCACATGCCGGTTGTGCAGCGAGCAGGAGGAAAAAGTCTACCGAACAATAAGACCGCAAGATAGTGAATCTGTGGCATCTGCAATTGCTGACAGGTGTACGTGGAAAAATAGACAACGGAATCGTACCTTACGGCGGAATGCAATGTTTTTTTTTTTAAAATAAATTTACTTCATCACATTCATAAACTTAAGTGCATCAGTAGCTACAATTAATTGTAGAAAATCACCACAATTCTTAACCGAGTACATTATTTCATCAATGTATAATCCATGCTTAGGCAACTTATGAGCTTTTGAATTTGAGTGTTTGATGCATGACTTGAATTTTACAAATTTAATTCTAGCCTTTTCTATAATTAGACTAATAGGAAACATATCTTAATTTCTTGTCTGCAGCTTTTTTATGATTGTTAAATCATCTCCTTCTAACAAAATTTCATTAAAACCCATCTTCTTGGCAAACTCCAATGCTTGGACAACTGCAAGGGCTTTAGCAGTATAATAATTTTTTTATCCAAGGCAAGTTATCACTGTGAGCTCGCATAATTATGCCTTCTTCATCCCTTATTATCACGCTTAACCCTCTTTTCTTCATCACTTTATTGATTGTTCCATCAAAGTTCATCTTATATGAACCCCTGTCAGGAGGTTTCCATCGCTTACCACATTCTACATTCAAGATAGAATTTTGTTGCTGAGCTTTGGTAAACTACATGTAATTCTTATCAAAAATAGCTGATGCTTTTGGTTCCCTCCTCTGTTCCCCATGACACTCATTGTTCCTGTCATTCCATAGTGTCCATATACCTATCATAAACAACTATAGTTGTTTTTTAGTGAATTTTTTTGTTATTTTAGAGAACTAGTGTAGGGGCTCCATTTGCCGTCCATTGTCTTCTTCCATTGGTAGTTAAGGTGTTGTCATATTTCTCTCGCCCAACAGCACTCTTTCACCGTGTGAATCACCATTTTGTCACTTTTCTCGCATCTCTTGCACATTGTTGACACTGGAATTTGTCTCCTTGCCAAGTTTGCCGATTCCTTTACTTGTTTTTCACATTAAAATTTTTATCTTCATTGGTAATTGAACTGACCATATCCTTTTCCAAACTTCTCAACCTCTTCTAACATCCTAATTTACTCCCTACCTCAAAACTAGTCTCTTGTGATGTCCAGCAAAGCATCCTATATTCACTCCTAACCATATATATGCCTTTATTACCAAAATGCCAAACTAGGTTATCAGGCAGATCAAGCTTGCTTAACGATAAGGCACAGATTACTTTTATTTCATCTTGTGTAAACATGCCTTGTATAACAGTCCACTTCTAGCTGTGTATTTGCTCATCAATTAAGTCAAACACCAACCCATTCTGATCATAGTTTCCCCTTGATATTTGAGGTCTGGATGATTTAGTGAAAGGAAGCCATTTGTCCTTCCTTATTCAACTAGATTTTCCATTACCTAAACGCCATTTCATCCCTTGATGCAACACTACTTTTATTGCCCATATGCTCTTTTATATTAAGGAGGGGTATGCTCCAAGATCATATTCAAGGAACTAGCCATGCGGGAAATATTTAGCTTTTAAAACCTTGTGTACCAGCGTGCCCGGATTTGTGGGAATCCTCCACCCTTGTTTAGCTAGCATAGCTTTATTAAAATTTCGCATTTCTTGAAAGCCTATGCCTCCATCTTTTTCAAGACAACACATTTTCTTCCAACTTTGCCAATGTCTGCGCTTATTCTCCTTATCATGCCTCAATCAATAGTTGCTAAACAAGCTATTCATTTCTTTACATAAAGACTTTGGTAGGAGAAAATAACTCATGGCATATGTGGGAATAGATTGTAGAATGGACTTTATGAACACTTCTTTCCCACCGTGTGATAACATTCTTTAACAACTCCCATTCATTCTAGCATTCGGTCCTTCAAGAATCTGAACGCCTTTCTTTTATCTCTTCCAACCATTAAAGGTAGGCCTAGGTACCTTGCCAAATTTTCGGTTTCTTAGATTCCAAACATATATATATTTTTTTATTTCTTCCCTTTATTCTTCTCCCGTGTTACCACTAAAGAATAATGTCGATTTATCAAAATTAATCTTTTGGCTTGAACTTTTTTCATATCATTTTAGCACATGCTTCAAGTGCTTCACCTTTTCGCTTTTGCTTTTATTGGCCATAGAAAAAAAAGACTATAATTAGCAAAAAATAGGTGATTAACTTGAGGACCATTACGGGCTAGCCTGCACTCCATGTAACAACTTCTATATTTTCCTTTCATTTAACAATTGCTGAAAGACTTTCAATACAAATTAGAAACAAATAGGGTGATAGAGGATCTTCTTGACGAAGTCTTCTTTCTTTATAAAACTCGTTAGTAATACCACGATTTACAACAGAGAGTGGGAACAGAAGTGGCACATTTCATATGCCTTGCTTGTATCTAGTTTTAAGGTAGAAAAAATATATATCCTTTTCCCCTTATATTATTATAATCCTAAACTAGTATAATTAAATAAAGGTAACATGTTTATTTATATATTATAATAGTGTATCAATATTAAACCATTTTTCTCTTTTATGTTGTTAGGATTTAAAATTCGTCTTTTGAATAGATCAAATTTCTCTTCTCATAATAATCTACGTTATTTTTCATGAAAAATCAAAGGAAATAAAAAGTTTTCTTTTGGATACATGATACTATTGTTTTTGTTTACCAAAAAAATAATTTTTTTTCAATGTTCGCCTTTCAAATGGATTAAAGTTAAGCACTCATAACAATCTAAGTTTCTTTACAAAGAATCAAGTAAAATAGAAAGTTTTCATTGGGATACACAATATTATTGCTTTTGTTCACCAAAAATAACATTTCTCTCTTTTATTTTGTTGAAATTTAAAATTCGTCTTCAAATGGATCAAAGTTTGTCCCTCATAATAATCAAAGTCCTTTTTGCGATTAACCAAGCAAAATAAAAGTTCTCTTTTGAATACACAATATTACTTAGAATAATTATAATAATAGTTACATAAATTTAATTCAATTAATTAATAATTGATTGCACTAAAATTTTGGTGATTTATTATACCTTTTAGGGTGTTTTATGGTGAATATTTGCTTGATCCTTAAAAAAAAATGGCAAAAATACTCTTAATTACTTAAATATTCAATGTGTAGGTAAAGATATAGAAAAAGAGGAAAAATGTATTTTTTGGACATTTTGGATGCATTTTTGTGCAAAAGGCCATAATTGGCCAAACCTAGTGTCAACATTGCTTAATTGCCACACTTGGGAGATTTTTCCTACCTTTCATTTATTACTCCCTTTGCTTATTTGAGCTTCAATTGAACTTCAATTCAAGTTTCATTTTTCATAGTTTCCTTGTTTAAATATTATTTTTTGGCTCATTAAACCTTTTTCACCTGTGTAATAAAGTTGTATGAGTTGAACACAACGCATTAGGTGCGGTTCTGGAGCTTCCATTAGAGTTGAAAATTTCTAGATTTTTACAATGCTAAATTGGCAATTAAATGGGTTTCAATTGATTGGAAATTGGAGATCAAATGAAGGATGTTTGGATTCTAAAATTGAAGATAAGGAAGTACTTCTAGCCATTGGATGCAACGTGGTGTGATCAAGTGGAAATGGCGACACTCCTTGGATTTAAATAGAATACCAATAACTTGCAGTTGATTTAGTGTTTTGGAGGCTTCTTATTGGTTATAATTCTGACTTTTTAAAGCATAATGAATCAAAGGAAGAGAGCTTAAAGAGAAGTGAAATGAAGAGAAGCAAACTAAGAAGCTTATGAAGCAAGCTTTCATGACATGAAAATATCTAGCACATGTGACATCCTAGCTGGTATTTTTCTGTAATTTGATTGATTGGAACACATTATCCTCGGCTTACAAATAAGAGTAGTGGCTGGCCAACGAGGAAGAGTTAGATTAGAGTAGATTTTAAGATTTGCATTTCTTGCATTTACTTTTCTTGTACATTTTATCTCAAATAATTTCCTTCTTGTTCTTTCAAAGGGCTATTTGTGAGAAAATTCCTTTAATCTTTCAACAAAATTTACTTTTCTTTGCTTTTGATACACTTTAAGATTCAAGTAATGAAATTTACTTTTCTTTAAGTTTTCTTGCACATTGACAAGTTTTTCCTTTACTTTCTAAAAGTTATTTGGCTATTTTCAGCACTGCACTACCTTCAGTTTCCATACTAGGTCTCTATGATTTCTTACGAACTTTGATCCAAACTTTTTTTATAAACCTTCAATTCATAGTACTTCAATTTTGGAAACTTTCATTTGCAAATTCATTCTACAAATGTTTCTAAAAATCTTGAAAGTTTCAGCTGGAGATCTAGTAACAGAGATGGCAGCAATTGGTGGCAGCACTTATGGAGTCTTCTCTCATTGCTTGGCATTTGGTCCATTCTTTCCTTGATTTGAGCTTGTTAATTCACTTGTTCATTTGCTTTATGTCAATTCCCTGCACTAAATTTGTTGTTTTACATGGCTGTTTGGCTATTTTCTTTTCAATTGCTCTATTTTAACATTTTCTGCACTTGATATTTGTGGAAGTTGATTGACCTTGTTAATACATTGATTTGATTGATTTTTTTGTTTGATCTTGTAGTTAACTTGTAAATCTAAGTCGCCTTAGCTTAGTTTAAGTTCATTCAGACTCTAAGATTATAGATCTAGGTTTTAATTTTGAAATTGTTACATTTTCATATTTGAAATTAGTTTTGATTTTCTAGGATTTTAATCTTTTGATAGTTCTATTTCTTATGGAATTATCATGTGATTTATTTTATTAATATGTCACTTACTTGACTAATTTTGTTTGATCTCTAGCAAATTTAAGTCAATGGCATCTAATTTGTTTGCATTGTCTATTGTGTAGGTAAATTTGAAGATTAAAGGCTAAGATACTTGGACAAGTGATATGGTGGTATGTAA